GAGCACGCTCCTGCGTGTACCGCTGTCTCAGCAGACCCACTATTTCTCTTTTCAAGTATGGATTTATCTGAAAATATTTAGAGGAATGAAAACTGAGCTCACTGCAGAATGAAAGACCAAACCTTTTATGGCTATGTTTCAGTTAGAGACCTCTAAACTAAAACTCCTCACCCCCTCTAATTCACCTGTAAACCCAAAGAAAACATCTAACATCTTCTAGCAAATGTTGAGTGTCAAAATCAGCTCCATAATAACAAGTAATTTAGTGAAGAAGTAAGATCACAGGTGTTTCGGTGCGCTGCTTTTAACCTCAGCCTGGGCTGAGATAAAGCACAAAATCAAGACAAGGGATGACATTTTCTTCTCTGTTCCTCAGATCCAGCCCTCAAGCCCAGAAATGAACACGGCCATTAGGAAAGACAACACCAAAACGATGCAACACAGACAAAATCCTTTCGAAAGAATGGGAATAAACGTTCCAGATAAAAACAACCCTCAGTGCTTCTGGACAAAATGATTTTGTTCCCATTTTGGAGGAGGAGGGATGTACTGCTGTCGTGGTACGGTACAGCCAACAGGGGCACCCCAGGGGTTAACCGCTGAGTGGGAGGGGGGTGAGCTTGTGAAAGTCTGCTCTTACAGTCCTCTGCACCAACTGTGGAATCAGCACAGGACCACAACTCTGACGGCAAACAGAAAAAGCAGTAAGCTAGGGCTGAGCGGAACGTTGAGGGGGCGCCAACAAACCAGGTGCTCCCAGGAACATCTGGAAACCCCGCCACGAGACACAAGCGTCACGTCGCTGCCCTGCAAACCGTGGAGGAGTGTTGGAGGCTGGACACCTTCAGAACCGGGCTGAGAAACCCGAGTGATGCCCTGTGCAAGGCGTGCAGAGGGCAGCCAAAAGCCAACCCGCTCATCCTCTCAGCAAGGCTGCCCATAAAACATCAGGAGAAAGCTGGGAAACGGTGTAAATCGAGACACTCAAAAAGGCCCAGAAGCAAGCAACTCATAAATTGGTAGGAAATGCATTTTGTTCCTATAACTCAATTGTAACTGCAAGCTGTGATGACTAAAAGTACAGCCCATAACATCCTCTGCAATGTTTAGGATGTAGCTGTAATAAAAAGCAGAAAAAAAAGCCCACTCAGGGAATAATAGAGCTGTTTAAAATATATTTTCTATTCTATGCCTATAGAATTCACACAAAACAGTAAACAGCCTGGGTTTGTATTTGAAATAGCAGCATTTTATCCCCTTACAGCAACATAAACCATTGTAAATATAAATTCAAATGAGAAACAAGCTCAAAAATGCAACAGGCTACTCGGATACGCTGCGAATTCTAGCGTCCTATTTTAATTATTTAAAGTAGGGTTTGTTGAATTTGGATACTGGATAGATATAAATGAAACTTGAAGCCATTCCAGGGTACAAAAGAAATTAATTGCGAGGCTGTGCTCAACAGCGTAGGTAGAAATTGAGAAATGTGGGCAATGGAAGTGAGCTGTGCAAGAAATACTGATTTATACACCTGAGGATCTTCACAGAGAGATGGCTAGCTCAGACTGCAGAGGAACAGCGTTTCAGAACCACGGGGAACGTAACTACACAACTCTGGACACGACATGGTGCTGGGCTCCAGGTGGTAACAGACTGGCCACAAGGAGATATGAAGCGTTCGACTCCTGTCCCAGGACCGACAAGCCACCCAGCTGGAGAGATCTTTCCTGCCCTGTTAACTCATGTTCAAAGTCTGGGGGAAAGGACTTGCAAACTGTTCTTTGAAATACCTGAGCAAGAAAACTTCAGTTTTCGAGTTAGCAGCTGCAATCCATGCTTTGTGAGGTGCCACGTATTGAAACTAAAATTATTCCTCATGAAAGACTTGTCTTCCATGGCTTTATGTTCAAAAATGCCTTAAAAAATACCTCCCACTCTTCAAAATAGAAATGATTGTTATTTCATTCTGTTGAATATAAAAAAACCCCACCCTCAGAAGAACCAAAAACGGCAAAATAAGGTGTCAGCTGATCGCTAACATAAAAAGTAGAATAAATATCTACAGAATTCTAATGGGCAAAGACCATGTATTGGCATTTGCAGTATGCCTGCTCGCCTCAACAGAGCTCACGTCCCGATCATTTTGGTTTTGAGGGATTCGAGGAAACAAGGAAGAAACAACATGTCTCCAACTTGCACTGGCACTTTGTAAACCTGTCTCATGATACAAGGCGTGGGTGTTCCTCTCTGTGAATCACCGTGACTTCAACAGGGATCCTGATGGATCGGCCGTGAATCACGCTCCTCCTGGTAAGCAGCAGCAGCTGCTCCTTCAGCCAGCCCTTTGCCCGCCTCGGGGACAGCACAACGGCTCCATGGGTCAGGCTCCCAAGGAGCCGGCCCGCTCGGGTCGTGGAAGTGGCCTCGGAGGCCAAAGCAAGTCATTGATGTTTAAATACCCAAAGCAAGTCAGTGATGTTTAAATGCCCGAAGGCCGGCTGCGTCGGGCGGCCAGACAGTCACCTCGATTCCACTGACGGAGCGTTAGCCTTCTCAGAACTGTGCACGGCTCCAAGACTTGACGTTTTATTAACTTGCATTTATTGCTTTTTGCATATTATTAGGAATTTGTATTTCTTTTTACTGATATTTTACTTCTGTTCCACAGGTCTAGCGACAGTACAGGAAATATATATAATTCAGAGAATTCAGATTTGTGCAGCTGCAATTACGCTATTTATCTATTTGGCACTGACTTGGCATGAGAGAACAACCTGCTTCCAGATTCTTTAAAACTGGATTCTTGCTGTGCTAAATGAACTGAAGAACACAGTGTTTCAGAAATCTTTCCATACATCCCAAAGATGTAGTGTCATATAATTTTTAATGAATTGAAAAATAAAATGTCATATCATACAACAGATAAACAAAAAGAAACATTATCAAAGAGACAAGAAATCTTTCCCTCCTCAGAGCTTTCAGTCAGGTTTTTAAGGTCAGTGCATGCCATTAAAGATATTTTAAGAGAAAATTACACATTTAGAAGTTTCATATGCAGACGTAGGCACAACCTGTGACAATGCTTTCAGATGTCCAACTCATTTTGAAGTCAAAAGAAAGTTTTGGAGCTTCAACAGAAATTCAGTGTTTGGGCCACAGTTCAGCAAAACTCTCATTTACGTGCTTCATTTTGAATGCCGTGTTATTGCTGAGGGTATTTAAGCACCTGCTTCAAGTTAAGCCCTTTGAAAAACCTCAGTTTCTGGCTAAGGAAGGACTTCTTCAGCTCGGGGCTATAATGAAGTCACATTATACACACGTCTACACACTAAGAAACCCAACTATGTTTAATACAGATCCACAAGAAATTAGGTTTTCATAAAATGCCACGTTTTCTGTGTAAAATTACTCTTTCTCACTAACCACGGTGACAAGAGTGTTCAGACTTAATAAGATAAACTCACAGCGATGAGGAAACACCAGCTGCGATGTATGCTTCAGTATGAAGCCTTCAAGCACAGCAGCGATGCCAGCGAGTAAGTGCATCCTGTGCTCATATATGATTCGTAACAGGAAAATTTGCAAATTCCTCGGTGGCTCCACAAGCCTCGCTGAGCTTAGTGAAGGTTGAAGCACGTAGTGTGGCCAAACGCCCCAGCAGAGACGTGTAAGCACTAGGCAACCTTACGCTCCGGAGCTCATTTGGTTTCATTAGGTCACTATCTCTGTGCCTTTTCATGTATTTTAATACACTAACTCTGCTCTTTAAAAATGCTGCTTAGTCCAGAATTATCAATTAAGGTACTGACTGAGCAGGAAATTGTAGAATAGATGATGGATTCGAATCTGAATACAAAGTTTGTTTTTGAGATGTTAATCAATAGTAAATGTTGCATATTAGGTGCACAGTATGGAGTTGTTTCTTTTTCTTCTAAGACATCTTGGGTGTGATAACTTTTATACTAACACTGACAAATTTTGATAATATTAATACTTAAATAACCACATTAAGCTCTCTCAGTCCGCTTCGTAGTAGTAGAGAGTTTACCGAGATCTTTTTACAGATGCTGCTGGTAAGGAGCTTGGGACTTTTTTCTTTCCTCAGACTCTGTCATGTCAGGGCTTTTTAGTGTTCACAAGACAGTACACTTAAGTGTCGTTTCCAAGGATGAGCTAATAAGGCACACAACTATAACAGGGTAAAATATACTCATTAATATCCTAAATGCACTTCCCTGCCATGGCAGAGTACTGAATGCTCCCACAGGAAAAGGAGGAGGAACAAATGCAAAATGAGTTTAAACTCATGCCTTGAATTAAATCCCACTTTTAAAGGTTTTCCCGGCAGTCAAATACATTGCAAATTATTCATAAAAATGTTTCTCTCGTATCAGGATGAGATGTTTCCATCACAAAGCTGCCATCTTCTAAAATACTAAAACCGTAAAATGTATTTTAATGGAGTAAATCCATATGTAGGGCCCATATAATTTGATAGAGCAGTACTTTTTATTTAGTATCACTTAAAATATTTTAACCTGTTGGACAATCACTAAATCCTAAAAGTTCAAAAGCACCATGTTGCAAAACGTACTCATTATTAAACATGCTTTGTGCATTAAATACAGAAAATGCTTCAGAATAACAGGGAACACACTTTCCTCTACGTAATTTTTCTTAGATATAATTATATACACGTTTCTGATATATGCTGAGTAGAAGATAATATCCTGTGTATGTGTGTGTGTGCGTAAGCCTCTAAACTCTGCCAGGTCAAGCTGCTTCAAACACATCAAAGCTTGAGAAAACAGATAACCAGCACCCACGAGGGTTTAACATCTAGCACTCTCCTCTTCTAGATGCCCCCTCCCCAATTCATCCAAAATATGTTCAGATTCGGGGTGGAACACAGTTATTTACACACTGTTACGGCAGTGTATTTTCATTAGCTGCTGAAACTCTTCTCTCAGACCCTTCCAAACTCCGAAGGGCGATACCCGCAGCACCTCCCAGCGCGCTGCTGCCCAGCGAGCGCAGGGGGCCCCGCTCTTCGCCCGTCGGAATCGTTGCCATTGCTCCAAGAAAGTAAAGACCAGGCAAAACAGAACGGGTCCCCAGCTGGGGTGATACGTTCCAGCAGGCTTTGTGCCAGACATCAGTAAGAGTACTGGACTGAAACAATTTAACGATAAAGACACATGAACTTTTGCACACCGATCATCGGTTGCACAAATCAAACTCTTTCATCTTTTAAATTAGCAAAAAAAAAAAAAGAAAAAGAAAAAAGAAAAATTAACCTTCTCAACTGTATGAACTGAGCAGCATATAACCTGCTCAGCCACTTTTCAGCAAAAGCAACCTCTTGTCATCTGACTACTGTACTTTTGACCCTCCAGAATATTCCCAGCTAAAACACGTTAACATGTTTTTACATGTGATTCAATAATCGTTGTTCTCAATACTCTAGGATACTTATCACATATTTAGATCAATGTTGTCTGCATCTCATGTGCTCCATCTTTCTAAATATTAGTTTTTCCAGATAGCTTTAAACCTATCCCATCAAAGTGACTTCAGGCTGCCTACATGAGGAGAGCAGAATCGGGTCACACGCAGGGTAAGCTCGCTTCTGAAACCAGAATTGCAATATTGTGCAATGTTGTGAGAAGTATTTAATGAACACCACTAAAGTAATTACAAATTGCACTCTAAATTTAAGTTACCTTGAACTGTTCCACTTCTGAATCTTCTGTTGGACAAGAGCATCAAGAGAATCTTCCCCATTCTTACTTTTGGGGGGTCAGTATAAAATGCAACATAACATAATACTCTCCATTTTATCCAGGGAGGAAAATAGGTGGAAACTTTCTGAAGGAAGTTTAGTACTGAAAACTCTCATGAGGGCTAGATAGAAAATAGTAATTTTAAAGCCTGCCTATGACTAAATAATAGCAATGTGAGGAAAAGAATACTGAAGTATCAACTATAAAAACTCAGCACTAAGTTAGCACCAGTTTATCTGCTTTCTTGTTACTGTATTTCTTGCTTTCAACAGAAATACCATGAATTTCATTGAGGTTTCTCTATCTGATACACTTCAGAAAAACTTCTGGCACACTGGAACTTAAATCTATAGTAATTACTGACCAGAAAAATAAAAAATACAAAAAGAAAATCACAACTTCTTGAATAAACAGAGCCCAGGATCAGAGTTCTTCTGAAACAGATACCAAGAAGCTCTCGAACAGAACTGTATTATCTTGAGTTCTAAACTAAATCAAATGGGTTAAAATTATAAGTTTATGGGCAAACAATTTCCCCAGCAAACTCTAAACAGTCCTGGAGGTCAGTCTCTACATCAGACAAATCAAACTATTCTCAGTTACGTCATTTCTGTTCCCACCATCTAATGCCAATTAACAAAACTCCCCTTAACGCTCAAAAAGAAAGTATCAGGATACATGTGTCCGATGATGGATGATCGGAGCAACACTATGTGGTAATTCCCAAGAGGGCGCACGCTCAGCTGTCAAACAGGGTTATTTCAGCTGCCTGGCACCCACCCCTCAGTAGTTTTCTGATAAAAGGTCCCCCCTTAACAATTTTTTCTCAGAACTTGACACACGTCTTTGGGAACAGCACAGAATTTGACAGAGATATTTAACTCTATTATAAATGTACTTTTCAAGGGGAAAAAAACCCAATCCAAGATACCTTAAGAATATGGAAGTAACTTACTAAAACCACAATGGGTAAGAGCTGTTTGAACCTGAACAAAAAGATTAATCCTCTCCCCTCCAGTCCCTTGATAAGAAAAAGGAAGACAAAATATTTGTGGGGAAGGAACAAGATTTCATCTTCTATTTCATTTCAAAATTATTAATGCACTTTGAATAATATCTTAAATATAACCTGGATAATGATACGTTAATGCAGAATTCTACAAAGTCTCAACTTTGTTACGGACACATAAACTTATTAAAAAATAGAGTAAGAGATCTGACAAGGTTTGGATTTTACAATGTGCATGAAAATTGAAAGGAAATAATTTCTTGGATTATATTTTCTGTTATTAATACCCTAAGAAGATGCCTGCTATGACTTGGCCCTACTTCTGTCACACTTCTTACTCTTAAGTTAAACTTTTTCCAGCGCGTCCATTGAAATTGCCTCTCTTTCCACATGATGGAATAATAAACATTTTTACCTGCCAGTGTATGGAGAACTATTTCACACAACTCACTTTTTCCTTCATGTGACCTGTCCATCTCTGCTGCATCTCCTGTAAGTGTCATTCCGTTCATCCAGCCAGCAGAGTATATTGATATTAAGTTTTAAGCAAACATATCTGTCTGGCACCAAATAGCCCTCGTTCAGCGGTTCCACGGCTTTTCCTACTGTTCTTAGCTTCTGCAATAAACTAACACTTGAAAAACTGTGTTTTGTATTACTCTTCAGCGATAGTGTCCACACATCGCGAGTCTCACTCTTGCAACACACTTGGATGCTCCAAGTCAGCAGAGTTTTGGTCCGCGCAGTGACTGTACAAATCATTCTATTAAAGGAAGATGGAAACTAGCGCTGCTATTTTTGACAAGAAATGTTCAAGAGTTAAAATGACATCATTTTAAGACACCAAACAGAAAGCAGAGTATCCACAGATAACAGCAGTTTACTTTTAGGAAAAAGTTAGTACAGAATACTTTCAGAATTTTGTTATTTTTAACACCTAATGCTAAACAAGTGCTTTGACAACTAATGCTAATGAGTGATGGTTGCACACGTGTTGTTTTCAGCTATAGAGAATCTACCCAGGCTTGACTAAATCAGTAAAGACTCTGATGGCACTCTGTGATTTGAGTTGTCTGTTGGCTCCAAGCTAGCAAACGCCTGCGTGCCCCAGTCACCCCCATCTGTACGGATTTCAGATTCTATGCAGCTCTGCCTAGGAGGCTGACAATTGCCTGCAGAGACTCCAGCTCCTGCAAACTCGCCTGCTCTCTTCCAAAATACGAACTGCCAGTCTGCTTCTATCTTTGACAGCATTTGCTAGCTTCAGCTGAGGAGAAAAGTGCATCATCAAGCTCTGACTCTGTGGCACTAAGATTAATAATTATAGGGTTATGCAACATTAACAATAGTGGTACGGGCAAAGCAGCGCTGTTAAAATTTAACAGCATCAAAGAGAGGGGAAGACAGAGATTGAGAAAATTTCAGTTCCTTCTCTGTCATGTGTTCTTGTCGTCATCTTGTTTTTTCTATATTTAAAATGCTTTAAGAATTTCTTCTGCAAGTAATCTAAGAGGACGGCTAACAGCAAATCGTTTGGTTTCAGGCCATGACACATCCATGTATACACCACAATTCAAGACAAAAATGTAACTTCTTGGATATTTTTCCAGAACAATTATTGAGATGGAGTAATTTAGCATACTGAAAAATATAATAAAATTTACTTTCTGGAAAGTGGTTTTTTTGAACAATTACATGCAACTACATTTCTTTAATCTAAACGTGCATGTCGTTTTATGTACAAACCACAAATTATACACTGGAATTTTGCCCATATAGTTTCGGCTACTTGATAATTTGATTGCTTTATTTTCAAACCAGGTGTTCACCGTTAACTTGGACAGAACACCAATAGTTAACCCTGCAATAAATTACATTGTCATGCTCCATTATCCTTTTAAGGAAATTCATTTTCTAGGCAAGCAAGTTTAGTGTGAGGAACTAGAAGTTATTACTCTTGACTTTTTGTAACCCCTCTCAAGCAGGCTTCTGAACAACTAAATATCACGTGGCTCTGACACACACTGGGGCTAAGTTACGGTGATTTTACTGTTCTAACTGGATATTTTTTTAATTGCTAAACAAAGCCCAATAGATTGCAAATTTCTATATGCTGAATTTGAAGCGTGATCACAAGACAGATGGTTGATTCCTTCAAAGATGCAGTCGTATTTAAAAAAGATGATGCCAAAATACAATCGAGATATGCAAAAATTAAACTCTTAAGGGACATCTGGATTATACCCAGTGCACCGTTCGGTTCCACAGAGCTGGGCAGCAGAGCTCTGTTCCACAGAGCTGGGCATTCATGGTGAGTGCAAAACTCCTGCTTAAACTTTGTGGACCACCTCTAATCCAAGAGAACCAGAGAGGTTTTCGACAGCAAACTCCTTCCCACACCCCGTGCTTCCTGCCCTTCGCGTAACAGGGTGTGAGCATCTGTTCTAAACCTTACTACTGCACTTAGTCCAAAATAAGAAATTATTTTGCAGCTGCTTAGGTGACCCTTCACCAACAGCCATTTAGAGGGAGATGACAAGGATGAAAATAAGGACAACTACAATCTAATTCCCACCTCAACTGGGAGAGCTTGGAAATTTAGAACATGGTTTTCATCTCTCTTCTTTGATTTCTCCTGTTAATACATCATCACAAAATAGGTTAAGCAGCAAACTGTTTGCAAAGCAGAAACTGGTTTTCATTGAGTTACAGGAAGACAGCGTTCCCCTCACAGCTTCATGCAGGCACACCTTTCCCACGAAAGGACGGGCTTGTAAAGCGTGTGTGGCACACTGTGTAAAACCAATGCAAGTAGAAAATGGTCTCTCCTGTGTTTTGTGCCTTCCTAAACTGTTTCAGGTGCGAGCTGGCACCTGACTTGCTTCATTGGAACGACGGAATATTTTGTACAGCTGACATAATATGCTCAGTGAGTCAGACAAGATAATTTGGGCTCCTTTAGAACCAACTGTAGAATTTCTGTCCGTTTACTGAATTTCCCTTTTGCAGGCCAGCGATGTGTTTTCAGATGATCAATATCCTCAGACGTTCTGAGAAAGTCATTGGTCTATAATCTTAGGTTAGGGAAAAAGAGTAAAAGCTATTGATTCCGAGAGGATAATAACGTATAAACCGATCATTAAATAGCTTCCTCACGAGAACAACGAAAGCAGAACAAACTGTCGATCCCTTATGTTTGTCAGATACAAGGCCCTCAGGTTATCAATGGGCTGTGTCCTGTGAATGGCAGAGCCCAACTGGATCCCGTATCTTGCCAGTTG